TCGACCATGTCGAGTCTCGTGGCAATATTTGTTTTTAGAAAAAGTTTTGAAAATCTACCGAAAAGCCAGTTTTACGAAAATTAGGGTTTTCAGGCTGTTTTCACCTAATATTAAAAAATTCACTATTCGCTCACTAAACATCAGGACGAGTTCAAAATCTCAGGATATGATTAATGTTGTCCGCTGAATGTGATTATAAGATCGAAATCGAAAATCATATTTTTGTGAATAGCTTTTCCAGAAACCCTGTTGGAAAACCTTAGGGTTTTTTAAAATTTATTTTCAGGTCTTCTATAAACAGGATATAGAATAGCTTAAATACTCCATATTCTGAAGATCTGAACTCGTCCTGATGTTTAGTGAGCGAATAGTGAATTTTTTAATATTAGGTGAAAACAGTCTGAAAACTCTAATTTTCGTAAAACTGGCTTTTCGGTAGATTTTCAAAACTTTTTCTAAAAAAAATGAGAGAGACACTCTTTACTTTCGCTCGTTATGCCACCTGCTAATACTAAAGAGCTCTAAATATAGTAATAAATCAAAGAAATCACGTGGACAGGGATTGAGCCTGAGACTACTGGCTCTACGAATAAATGTCTTTCAACAATTTTGCACAATGGATACAAAACTGATATGAAAGATAGTTAAGTCCGTGCATGCACGAGAAAAAAACAATTTTAGAATCGACACATCTTCAAAAATCACGTATTCCAAATAGCCCATACCTATGCTGACATAGAAAACAGTGCAAATTTTAATTTTCTGGAACATCTACGAGAGACTTTAAATTACTGTTTTAGATGCATAATAGGTCGACTATTGCGACTAAAACGGTGTGTGTTACGTACTTCAGTTTTTGTGTACGATAAATGACCTGTCTTGTTTCTCATCTACCACATTTTTAAACACCATGACTGTACCACATATTGTTTTGAATCTAAAGTTGTTTGTTTCTGAGAAGATTTCCTTTTTTACGATTCCTCGTATGAATACAGCTTGTATGTTTTAAAATAGTTCGATCTATTGAAAAGTTCTTTACATTACTTGAACCTGACCATTCGAATGACATATGAAAGAAGAGAAAACTGTAGGTAGGATCGCACCTAAATCCAAATGCAATTTTTTATTCACATTATATATTATCGTATGACAGGGAACAGGACTGTCTTTCTTGCTCTTCAAGCGAGCATAGTACCCTTGTTTTCTCGTTCACTCAAATAATATGAAGAAAAAGCAAGTTTATCATCACAGAAAAGTAAGAAATCTAAGAAGCAAAACAACACGACAAAAGATGAGACGATTTCTACGATAATTTTTTTGTTTTTTGGAATAAAGTGTCGACAACTTTACTCATATTTTGTACGATAACAAGAGCATCTTGATACTGAGTATCGGATGGTGGTTCATCGAATATAATCAGTACGTCGCTACCTTGATCTAATATACCTGTTAAAAAAGAAGAGAATGTTCACTTTTGGCTACTTTTAATAAATATTATGACATACCGCTAAATTTTTTATCAAGAATCATTTGTGATAGTTTTTTTTCAACAACATCCTAAAACCGATAGAATGTTATTATTTTCATACAGAGCGAAAAGACAGTCGTCCATCTTACTTGTGGTAAATTTATTAACTGTGCTATGTGACCAATTTGTACATTAGAATAGGGTTCAATCAAACGACAAAGATTTTGCTCTAAAAGATTATCATATAATGTATCCAAATGTGAACGAACCATTGGATCATCTATTAATTCATCTTTATAATCTTTCAATGCCTAAACTTCAACACAATTTAAAGTCATTATTGAACGTTCTTTATCGGCTGAAAATCACATTACCTGTTGAAAATCAGCTAATGAACGTTTTTTACTGGCTTGAGCGACAGCTTTTATTGATTCTACATCACGTCCAGTATATTTTAATGCCAATTTGACAGACATCAATGCATTAACATCATCAGATCTTAAGCCGAAATAGAAATAATTTGAGCGCTAGAATTAGGACAAATCTTTTGATACCTACAGATTCATCATAACTTTGGATAATAGCATATATTTTAGTGCTATGACTGCTTTGTTACTATCAATCTGATCATATCCTTCAAATGCTTCGTAAAAGTAAGAAAATGCGGTTTTAAAATCTTTATCTTCAGCTGCATGAAGAATGCCTGAAAGAAAGTATATACGACTGATGATTAAACTTAGACAATCTTAAAAAGGTAAACTAAGAGGGAAAAAAGCTCCTTTTAATCAGATTTACTGTCGAAAAATATAATACTGTATAGTAGCAAACGAACCTGATTGCAAATCAAGACTGGATTGTAATTTTGGAGGTGTATAAATGCCATTTGCTGTTGTACGAGCGGATGTCAATGCTGCTCTAAAATTCAACATAACACAAAATAAATATACTTTTGCCATATTCTATGAAAAGTAATCAAAAAGAAGATGGTTACCTTGCTTTCGGTGTGTTACTTAGTGCAAAATACGTTTTGCTTTCCAGTAATTGTACTTCCACTAATAGTTGTTTATCATCTAATTTCTTCAACTCTTTAAGTAACTGTGAACCCAACTGAAGTGCTTCATTATAACGTTTTGTTTCATAATAAAGTGCAACAAGACGAGACTAAGAAAAATAAGAGCTATAATCAAGAAGAATGATGATGAGTAAAAATTGGTCGTACCTCTAATTCCTGCCGTAAAAATGTTCGATTTTCAGTTTTAGCCCATTCAATATTTTCTTGGCACAATCTGACCTACAACGATGCAACACGCTTGTTATAAAAACAAAAAAATATTATGTAACGAATACATACTTCTTGACCAGTCCCAGCTTCCATATCAAGAAATAAATCAACTAGTGTACGAACAAGTTTAGCTGCTTTTGCTTTACTAACATGACCAAGAAATGGACGTGTTGTTTTTATCAACTCAGCTAAGGCTAGAAGCAATAGAGATCCTTTAATGTTTGTATTCTTACTGCCATAAATGTTCATACCTTTTGCATCTTTTATCTCCTTAAACAATTTTCCCAACGCTAATATAGTCGTTTCTTTAATTCTAATCGAATCCTCATCATCTGATATAGTCTCGATCTGAACTAGAAGAACAAACAAAAAAGAACATTTACATTCTTTGAAAATTCTACTAAGTGTATATATACCAAGCTTTTGTAATATGTTTCTTGCAACTTTATAATCTTTTGTTGCTAGAGCTGCTTCCGCCTCTTCTAATTCAATTTGTTCGCTTCGTTTTGGTGTGTCATCACTGGTAGCACGATTCGTATTTTGAAGTTCATTTGTCGTCAACTTCATGACTGATAATCTCAATTATCGAAAAAATGTTACAATCTAATACCAAAAACACGTGTAACTTTCTGACTTAAGTCTAGACTTAGTTAAGTCAAGCACTTTAGAATTTTTATGAAACAACCTCCTGATTTTATTATCAAAAAAGGAAAACTCTGAAACAATAATTTGATGGTTAGTCTATTATTAAAAGTTAAGAAAGAGTATGTTAGTATAAAAAGATTTTTTAACTATCAGTTGTCTTTTTTTATACAAGCTTTATTCTATCAGAATACAAGCGGAAGAATATTCCATTACAGTATTCTAAACTAAAACTATCGAAAAACACAATATCAGTTTTTGTACGAATAGAGATTCGAACATGTGAACTTAGCTTTGTAGTAAACTACAAAACTAAATTCACCGTTCTGTATCTATATTCTGCATAACGATTGAAGTTGTGCAATCGACTCGATATTATCCGTAGTCATTTTTTTTGGTATGTTTTTCTGTGTTCTGTTTTTTTTAATAAAAACTATCTGTTATTCGCATCACTGATTGCTGTCTATCCATTGTGTTTAATTCTCTCTTTGATAATATAGCGATGATGTTATAGACAATGATCTGACTGTAAACAGGCAATAAAGCGTCTTATTGTCTAAAGCTATAAAATAAAACTTAATTAAACCTGTCATTAGATACTATCGTTATAAGCCTGAAATTTACACTGGTTTCATTTCCAACTGATGAGATAAAAATAGTCTTATAGAAACAAAATGGTGCAAAGACGTAACCGCAAATAGGTAGTATCGTGCTGATTCTACAGTAGAAAATGCAGGTGGGTACTGACGTATGTGATACTCATTCTTAAATCTAAAACCATACAAAACTTTATCTTCAGCTTAGAATAGCGTTTCTGATGAGAATCAAAACGTCTCGATATTCTTAGGGATCCGAACTTAGAGACGACAAGCGCGCGGCAAAACACACTAAACATGAAATACGTCGTTGATAGTACAATAAGGAAGAAACCTACAATGTTAGTATTACTTTTTTTAATTTTGATGAAATCAAACTTAAATACAAATGCGGGCACTCTTATTATAAGTGAAACTCTTCTACGTGAAGAACAAAAGTGACAGATCTAAGGCTTAGGCCTGTCACTGTTGTGTGCTTAGACACTGGATAGCTTAGAGTCTAAGCTATCCAGTACAGATTTCTGTTTTACCAGATTTCAACAGGAGCTAACCAACTAGAAAAGATTGGAAGACGCATGAATGTTTTATTATCTTAATTAAACAGATGTCCCCCGTAGCCACAAATACAATATCTGTTATTTCTGTTCTTTTTAAAAATACAAGGACTCGGCCTTATATCTTTCAATTGTTCATGCACTGTTTTACCTGAAAAATTGACTTGGTTATTCATTTACTTTATTGGTAGGTTATGTTGACCCGGGGATAGTATCATCCATATTTCTATCACCGCCGTACAGAAGTAAGCAATTTACATTGGTTTTTAGATACCAATTAGATATGGCGATGAATCACGCTGTTATTTTTTTCTCAATGACGTAACGATCTCTTTAAGTTTTATTTCCACACCGTGTATGCGCACAATTATTGTGTATATCCATCATGGTATCTTTTCTATATTTGTTGTGAAACTGTAAAATAATCAAGCGTAACTCTGCTCATTAGCAAAATGATTCATGATGGTAAGTTAAATCTCCGTATAATGGAATTAGAACGAGTCCAACTAACATAATCACTGATGTCTACTTTCCAGATGATGGAAATCGGTTTTCTGACCGAAGTAGAGAATTATGGTCTGAACGTATTGCTACCGAATCCCACTATAAACAAAATAGTGAGTATGAAAAAATGCTCTGATGTTTTCCATGAAATACTTGTCTGAATATTTTTCTGCTTTTCAGATTTTTTGAAATGTTGTGGAAGGTGTCCGTTCGCATCATTTCTCGCTTTCTTATTTACATTAACGGGTACTGGGATATTCTGTGGTTGTATTTATCACGCATTAAAAATTACAATTGAAGCTGTGAACAACGCTTTTAAAATACAATATGTTGAAGTGGATTGGTAAATAATATAACTTTACGCTTTATTTTTTAAATTTTCTTACTTAAATGAATAGTCTATAATAGGTAATAATCCTTCCTAAGATAGATAGATTAACTATTTGAATATTTCGAGACATGCTTAAACGGGTCATTCTTACATTCACCACTTTCGAACAAAGGATTAATTTATTCTTATTTAGGATTCGTATGACACGGTTGGGTGTTATCTTTGTTTCGGCTGTTATGTGTGGTTTATGTTTAATATTGTTAATTGTTGGATGTCTAGCGACTGGCGCTACTCGTCATCAAGTTTACACGGGTTTTCGTTCAAGATTAAGTGGACGAATAGCAACCGGATTTGTATGTGACTTTCAAGGCTTTTTTATTCGTATAATTTTCTGAAAAGTACTGGATTATATGCACCTGATCATGAATCTTACGTTGGTTTTTGAACCAGACGCTGCTTTGATAGAGAAACCATTTAAAAGTGACATTTATACCTAAAAAAGTTTTTTTAAGTAGCGACTTCACAGTTGTTTCAAAATAATAATTAGTGACAAAAACAGCGAAAATAAGTGACAAAATGACGGATCTATGCTTTGTTTTAGAACGGAATGAGACAATAATGTAAAAATCATAGAAGATAGACAACTTTTTTTGTTCTGATATACAGAAATACGTCTGCAAAACTATTGCGGTTAGGGACGTTGAACGTGAAGAACTAGAAGATTTTGAGAAACTCACTGTGCGGTCCAGAAAAGGTGATGCTACTCGGCACTATTTTTGTAGATGTAATACATACAGAACAATATTTGGGCAAAGGTTGAGTTGAATCTAACCGTTGTTGTTACCCGTGCCAAGTTAAAATATGACTTTAATCAATTTTCGACTCAATTTTCTGACTTGACTTGGAGATTTTTTGAAAAGATTTGACTTGACTTCTAACTTCGCCTGTAAGAACAAGCCAAGTCATCAATTAAGGAAATCAGTTTTTTGCGGCAAATATTAGGGTAAAATACATGATTAGATCGGAAATTTCAATCCAGTATTAGATAAAAGTACTCTTCCACCGCAAAACTATGACTTAGACAATTCTCCAAAAACAATTATGAAGACAAAATCGAAGAAAAATCCATTTGTTATCAACACAGTAGGCGAGTACTCAAGACTCCACAGTTATCTTAGGATAGAGAAAGGAACGAAATCTAATAAAATTTGAGCATTTTTCTATGAAAAAAGAATTTCAAGTCATGACTTGCCTTGTCCGAGCTTGATTTATGACTTAAATACCCTGTGACTTGTCCAGGTCTGGATCCAAAACGATTTTATGATTGTTTTTTATTTTAGTTTTCTATAGTTGTTTATTTATTATTTATAATATGGGTGATAACCACATTAGCCTTGGTTGTTCCATGTATTGGCTATTTTATACTAAATTATCGTTGTACAAAAGAAGTACGCACTGTTGAAACAGACCCATTATCTCCAACACGTTGTTTATGGCTTGGTCATTATGGTTTGAATATACCAAAACAAAGAAATGACCATACAGTTTGTCAAGAATCATTTGTTGAACTATGCAATCGAGTATGTACCTAATTCAGTTGTGTTGTAAGATCTAATTATGTCCTATCATTGTGTTTTCTAGACCACAGAAGCGGGTCCACGATACATTGGTAATGTTTTTTTTGACAATTATGTTCTTTTCTAAACTGATTTTTCTTATTTTAGCGGCTTTATGTGGTTCATTATTAGTTGTTCTAGGCTTGGTAGGTTGATATCGAAAATTAAATCAAAACAGATTTATATTTGTATTTTATGTCTTTAGCTTCATTTTTTGTGTTGCCTTGTCGCTAATTATGCACATATTAAAGACGGGATTAAATTACGCGATTATGAAGACGCTATTAAAGAAGAGTTAGAATTATCAAAATTAAATCGTTGACATGCAAATATATTTATACAATAGAAGAATGAACGATCATACTTTTTTAAACATTCCCATTTTATTCCTCTTTTGTCGTTTTTCAGATAACGATATTGCTTTCAATAATCGTCCTAATTACTCATTATGTTTGCATAATATTGCTTCCTTATTTTTGTGAGTGATTCTGTTTAATGAATCTAAACAATGAAATATCAACATATGTCAGATGAGCGTTTTTCTCATGTAGAATTTATTTCTACTTGTTTAATGTCGCTTGTGAAAATCTTTGTTTTTTTCCATCACAACTCAGGTTTCCATTTCCATCCGCAGTTTATATATATATAATATCAACGCTTTTTCTTTGCTCTATTTTACTCCTGATTTTCTATCGTTTAGTCTAGTTCTTTGCGTCTATTGTTTTCTGTCTTTGTAGATGCTGTATTCGTCCCTTGTTACCACCTACGTGCCTTTTTTCTCGTTTTATTAGAAACATGTATGGTGTATTCCTTGACAAGTGTTACTTAAGAAACGCATCTTACTCCTTTCTCCCTCTCGTACACGCGCAGATCGATAGATCGATCTCCTCTATGTTTTAATATTTTTTTCATACGAATCAAATTTTTTTCTAGTTCTTGTGTTTTTGATACATCTGCATGTTAATAAAAAGAACACAGAGAACGATGTCGTAAATCAAATAGTTGAAATAAGCAAAAAATTTGCTCTACACTTTTAAATCAATTTTTGTTATGTTTAGTACCTGTTCAATTATGAGAATGGAACTAAATCTTCAACTAAAATGAAGTTCTTTTTAAAATAAAACTTCAAAAAAAATCCATTAAAAATACTTAATAAGAATGCCTTGTTATGCATTATATAAAGAATCGGAATCCATGGTCATAGAACACATTCATCTAAGTTTGTTCTAATAGAGAGTCGCTTTCCTTTTTATTCCAAAATTTCTAGTTGTAATTCTCAAAAATCTTTTTTTATATTTCAGATTGTATTTCAACATTTTTATTCTATTCTATTTTCTAATCCATGTGCATCTTCCTCTCCATAATGATAGTTATGTTTTTATGCAATCATGTTTGAAACTATCATTGCATCGGTACTACAAGGTTATGTTGCACGATATGTGAATATCAATGCCGATCAATTATCTGTTCAATTACTCTATGGACGTCCAATTATCGTTGAAAATTTGACATTCAATAAAGATACATTAAATAATGATCTACAAAAAAAATTAAAATTACCAATTGAAATTGAATTTTTACATGTTGGAAAAATAGAATGTTCATTTCAATGGTCATCATTATTTTTTCGTTCATCATCAACAGCATTAAAAATAAAAATTGAACATGTTTACATTATTGTCAAACCTATACAACTTGATGAAAAGGATGATGATGAATCAAATCAAGTTATTGATCAAGAAACAATTTTTCAAATGAATAAAAATGATTTGGAGCAAGTCGAACAACAATGGCAAAAAGAATTTGAATTTTTAGGAGAAGTAAGTATACAATATTCTGACACAGGTATTATAATTAGATATGTATCAGTTTTAAAACTAATATATGTCTAAGAGAAATATTTCATCTGTTATCAACTTATATGTAATTGAATCATTCTTAATTTTTTATATTTTATTTAGGTTAAACCAACATCCATATGGGGATTGAAACGTTTGTCTTTATCTATCATAGAAAAAGTACAAATACAAATAAATGATGTTCATGTGCGTTACGAAAGTTATTCGATAACAAATATTCCCTATGCTCTTGGTTTACTATTTGATAGTATTCAGATATCTAATGAAACAGCAAAAGATCAACCATCATCAACAGACAATAGTAATATTAGTCAAAAAGTATTTCAAATAAATGGTTTAGCTGTTTATATTGATGATAATATTGAAAATATTCATCAACATGAACAAAGTCAAATATTAACATTAATGCGTTCATTTTCTTCTCAACATTCCTATATTTTATTACCAACAAGTTCAATGAAAATTTATCTTGTACAAAATCATTTAAAATCATCAATAACAAATCGAAAACAAGCACGATACGAATTAGAATTTATTTTAAATGATATAAATCTTAAATGTGATATTAAACAAATACAAATTCTATTGGATGTAATACGTTTTATTCAATTTTATAATTTTCATCGAAATTATGTTACGGATCCAAGTCGACCAAAAACAAAAATAATTGGCAATATCAAACAATGGTGGCATTATATTACATTAGTTATTATTCGAACACAAAATTATTTAAAATCACCAACAAATACCGATGCTCAAACTTCATCATCATCTACTACACGATTTTGGTTTAATCGTAAAATATTGCTTTATCGTTTACATCAAGTGATTATTTATAAAAATCTATATCGTACATATTTAGATAATAAATATCTTAAACGATTACCCGTTCTTACAGAATCTAAACAATTACAAATGGACGAAATTGAACATGAATTTGATCATGATTGTTTACTAAAAATACGTCGAGCTATATTTAGAAGTCGGGCTAATGAACACTTTAGTTCAACGAGAATTCAAAAGAAATTACAACAATCCACACCGATAGGTAGATATGCCAGTTTTATTTGCTACATTAATAGACACTTATTCATATGAAGCGATCTAGAAACAAAGAGGTGACCGAGTAGAATTGCTCGTTGTTTACAAGCTGAAATGACTGATTTAAAGATATGATTTAACTGTTTTGAATATAGATATTTTCTTTTTAAGCTAACAACAGTGTAGATGCTTCTCAGTCACAAGACACATCGTCTTCCTGGTACGTTGGCTATGCCAAATGGTGCAGTACAAAAATGCTGGATTTGTTGAAGACAAAATCAACCGATGTTGGTGTTTCTGCATTATCTACGACACCATTGACGACATCATCAACAACCACACTCAATGAACATGACAAAGAATTGCAGGAACAATTAAATACATTTATTGCTCATTCATTAGAAGATGAAGACTTATCACAGAAACGACGTGATGCATTACTATTGCGTTTAAAGTTCTTACTAAAATCGGTACAATTGGATTTACTAAGCGAATCGAACACATCGATTAAGTCCGTATTGTTTAAGTTTAATTTGAATGATGTTTCAATATTAACAGAGTTAAGACCAAGGTCAAGATCAGTATTATTTTATCTGAGATTAGATGATCTTAATGTTCGTGATTGCGTAAGAGAAGATGCATTTTCAATGATTATTTCTCCTAAACAGCGTCAGCAACAACAAACTGGAAATAATGGGTAAGAAAAGGCGAAAATAATGTTTACCTACTTGTTATTCTTGATAGATACTCTTGTTTAACAGTCATACAGGATTCCAGGAAGGATCTAATAGTCTCTTTCAGCTCTAATCTTACTTGTGGTAAAAAAGAAAGAGAGAGCGTCACTTATACTTACTGCTTAATTTATCTTGTTTGATAGCGGGAACAATTTTCAACATAACTGTCAAGTTTATAAGTTCTAAACAACGTTTCATGTAAATTTAGTTCTGTTAATCAACAATCATCTCATCGAGCACCTGTATTCGAATTATCGTATGAAAGAAATCCATTGAATATACAACAACAACAGCCTCTACAACAATTGCCGTCAAAAACTAAATCTTTGCCTCGTCTTTCATTTTCGATTGCTATTCGAAGTCGTGGTTTATGTTTTGTCTGTTGTCCATATTCTCTTGATCGTTTTCATCAATTTATGTCATCAGTATTTCAACCTGTTACTCAAACACCGATCGAATCAATTCCAACAACATCAATTATTCAGACTGCAAAACATCATTGGACACAACTGAAAGATCGTACAACAAAACAACTTAAATTTGCATTTGATCAAATGTTTTCTAATAATACAACAAGAAAGATAAGTAATTCACCTTATAAATATATCAAACAATATCGTCGGAGATCTAAAAAGAAATTCGATATCTATCTTGATATTTATGCTCCACAAATGATTATACCACAAACATCTGGACGTGCTGTCATTGTTGACTTTGGCTGGTTAACATTGATAAATGATGAATATAAAAAATCGTGTCCATTAAAAGAGTGTGATATGCATTCAAGTAGCAATAATACATCTGTTTATTTCACTGATTATTTTACCGAACGTTCATATTTTTTCAGTGAACCATCAGTATCAGCACCACCGGTAGTACTTGATGATGATGACGATTTATTTCTAACACCGGATAGTTCTCCGTTAGCTGATGATGATACAAATGAAATAGAAACATCAAATTACCCTTTAAATATTATTTCACCCAATGATGTTAGTCAAAAGAAGGAAGTGATTACATCATACGATAAAGATTTTTACTCATCATTTTCATTATGTTTATGCGAAATGCAAGTAGCCTATTCAACATTTTCTTCTAATCAGATGGAACACGGTGTATTATCACCAATTATTGAAAAATTTGGTGTCTGTTTTTTACTACAAACACGTATTGTTTATTCAAATGAGCCATTATGGCCAAATATAAAATTATCAGGCACATTACCGAAACTTGTTTTACATTTGGATCCAGAACGAATTGAAACATTAAGTGGAGCATTAAATAATTGGGGAACGTTTGTCAATAATTTTCAAGTAGCTATTAATTCAGAAGAGATTGATAAAAGAAATGAAAAACATGATGATGATGAACAACAAGAACAAACACAGTCTGAACAGTTCAGTGAATCTGCTCGTTTGGCAATAGGTTTTCGTATTAATGAAATAAGTATTCAATTAAGTGATGAATATCGTGCATTAAGTGAATTTCGAGTACAAAATATTGATTTAACATTAATGAATCATTCATATTCAAATATATTATCGATGAGTGTATCGACATTAATGATTGTTGATGCTGTACAACATTATGGAAAAGATTATGAATTATTATTAACATCAAATCGTTCGTTAGAAATAAATACACAAACTGGACGATTAAATGAAATGGATTCTCGAGCATCATCACCTAATTCGATAAAATCGATGTTTACATTATCAAAACAATCACAAACATCAGATGAACATTTAATACGTATTAATATACAATCGACAACAAGTAAACAACAGCAACAATATTTAACAATTGATATGCATGTCACTAAATTAAATCTTGTTTATAATCCCGAAACAATATGTGCATTAACTAATTTTTTTGTCAGAATTATTAGTTTGATGAAAGATGAGAGAAATTATGCGGTATGTACTTTAATAATTTATTACATTAATAGAACTAAATTTTATTATTGCATTTCAATTTCAAATAGTATTAAAATTTTAATCTCTCTAAGAAATTATTTTATTTTACATTTAATATATATATTTTTTTTCTAGTTTTCCACTGATACAATGAACTATCCAATGTTATCCAGTGTGCCTACAGAATCGGTATCGAATCAACAACAAATTACACCGTTACGTGTACAAATCAATGGCGAATTTGAAGAATTAAGTATTTTATTTACAAATGTGGTTACAATTACGTCAATGAATAAAACAAATACGAAATTAGAAAAAGTTGCTGCTGTTCGAATGCGTGGTGCATCGTTAAATATTTCCTTGGAACCATATAAAATGATTGAAGGAGAAATATGTGCATTGCAAGTATTTAATTTATTACGCGATTATACAATGTTAACCACTGCGAAGGATACTAATGAACAATCAAGAACAATTATTGATCTTGGTGAACAGTCTAACAATAATAATAATAGTAGAACGACTCTTCATAAAAAGGAAATTGATGGTGATAATGATGAGGAGGACGAAGAAGATTTTATATTACCAAGCAAAGCATTTCATTTTTTATATACTGAAAATATTAAACATGAATTATTAATTGAAATGGCATCTGTATGCTATACACATTCATCAAAGTTTATATATAAAATTCAAAAAATTATTTCTTACATGACAGAACATTGTCATTCATCAACAGTGATTGAAGTAGGAAAAATGAAACAAAATGTTCTAAAACAAGGAACGTTATTGTTAAATCAATTTGTTCATGCATCATCTTCAACAACAGAAACTGTTTTAAATGAAAACGAAGCGGGTATGTTTATTTTCGTTCACTCATTATTCGTGCTAAAATAGTGAATTATCTAAGAAAATGAGAAAAGTTAGAAGAATAAAATTCAAATATAAGTTTTAGATAGATGAGTCCAATAAAAGACTTTCTATGTACAAATGTTTACCCATTCTCTAATTAACAAAAAAAAATCATTTGTTTTCCACTAATGCATCCGTTAATTATGTTTTTACAACCGCTTGTTATATCAGAATCGATTAGTACTTTCTGTAAGTTAACATTGGCGAGACAACAACCAGATACCTGTACCAATTAAAAATTAAGAGAAAAGATGTCAGCAGCACTTGTTACTGGTATTTTACTAATAGGATATGGTTTACAATAGCCGAATGTTGTCTTGCCACTCACTATTATGTATCCAACAGTGCACAGTTTACTTAAAGTTTGAAAAATTGAGGATTCAATTTTCATTTTTGAACTAAAAACCATGGTTTACAAAAGAATTTCAGTGAATCGAGACGAGTCTGAAATTGTTCTCTGACATAGATGTTCTAACTGTAATTAATTAGCTTAACTTGATAAGCATTAATTGAAAACAGATGTTGTTATTGTTTGTCATTAATTCGAGAATAAGGAAAAGTTTGTACAGAGAAAATCTTATTTGACTCATCTTAAGCTAATATTTTCAAATTCTCTCTTTTCTCTTTTGTTCTTCTAATTTTTCATCCTTTTCTAGTCATATCAAAATAGTGACATCTAACTAAACTGTTAACTATAATTCTATTTTAAAATATTTTTACATTTCTATTTTAATTATTTGATTTTTCTCTCTATATATAGGATTAACTTTTAATCCGATAATATCGTCGCCATTCACCACCGATAATGTTGAAAGAAAATCACCTACTTTAAATTTATGTTTATTTTTTGCTACACCCATTCTTGTATTTCATCCAGAATCTTTAACTAATCAAATTTATTCAAATGAATTACTTGTATTTCATCTTGGACATATTCGTGTTGAAAATAATGTTGAATTAAAACGACAACAATCACAAGAACATCAACCAAATTATTTACTTAAAATAAAACATTTACATTTATTTTCAATTAATATTGAACAAGAATTACGTTCTTCTCAAAATTCAAATCTTTTTGAAATATATAAAAATCCTCATAAATCAAGTCCAATGATAAATGATGTTATGATTGATTTAAATTTATTTATAAATAATAATGAAACATTTGTTAATACAAAACTTGTTTCTTCTGTTCAAATATATTTAAGTAAAAAACAAATTAGTTTATTTCAAAATATACTTGTTTCATTAACATATAATGATAATATAAATAAACAAAATATAGAATTAATGGAAGAACAAGAACAAGAACAAGAAGAAAATGAAAATGAAAATGATTTATTACCAATTATACATCATCCAGAACTTATTAGTGAAAATGAAAAAGTTAAATTTAAATCATTTTCAATACAATTTGAATTACCAGAATTAGTATTAATATTTCAAGGTGATTTAGCTGATATTAATTCAGAACCACAAAATGTTTGTGAAGCTATATTTGGACAATTTAATATGTCAATTATACAAAATGAAGAATATTTAAAATCTGTATCATTAAGATTAGAATCTTTAAATGTTTTTGATCATCTTGTTAATGATAATGAATGTTTATTTTCAACAAAAAATAATTATTCATCAAATCGTATATATCAACATAGTCAATCACATCTATCATCATCATTTCCTACAACAGAATTTAATAATACAACGACAAATTTTATTCATCAATCATCAACATCTGTTCCAGCTTATATGATTATTAATAAAAATCAATTTTTAAATAATTATTCAATTTCTACACCGCCATCATCGCCTAATATGTTACAACAACGATCAAGAGCAAGAACAGTATCATTATCATCTTCTTTACCAGCATTTATTCAATTAAATATAAACATTATTGATAAAGAACACGAACATTTTGATGATAGATATAATAAATTTAATATAATAGCTGATGCTAATTTTAGTGAAGTAGAAATTAAATTTAATATACCAACATGGATTATGTTATTTGATATTATTGGATTGATTGGTACACCAACACCACAAACACCTCTATTGTCCACAGGTAATGATGCAATTTATTCTAATAATAAAAAGTTTTAGAATGATAAGAGAAACAGGAATTACTCAATTTTGGCCTAGAAAATCGGATTTAATTCGCGATCAAGGCATACATTTCCTTTCTCATGTTTGTCTCTCAGTTTCTCTCACGCCACAAAAATATGTACACTAATTGAAAAGTTTTAATCAGTTGCCAATTTAAATAAACTAAAAAGATAAAATAAAACTGAACTAATCATATTTGATTGATATAAGAAAAATTTATTTTTCTATAAATTTTAATTTTAAATTTTTTTTCATTCTAGAAATTCGACAAGATGAAGAAATATCCATGAAGAAAAATGTCATTTTATCATCACCATTACCATTACCTCAAAATGATTCTATGCAAATTTGTATTAATGTTGATGCTATATCGTGTTTATTACAAGATGAAAAAGTTCCATTAATGAAATTTTCTTTAAAACGTTTTTATTGTAATATAAAAGCATTATCAACAAATGAAGCTAATAAATGTCTTATTGTTGAAGGAAAATTGGGTCTTGTATCAATAAGAGATTTAACATTATTTGGAATGTTATATGAAGAACGTTTTTGTACAAGTGGAACAAATGCTCTAGTATTTACATATAAAAAAGAAGAAGAATTAATTATTGATAAAAATTATTATTTTCCAACACGATTAAGTTTATATTTACGTTTGACATCTGTACAATATATTCATACACAACGTTTTTTAATGGATTTAATTAATTTTTTTGATCGTTTTCAACAATTACAAGATGCATTTAATCGTATGAGAACAGCTGCTGCTGGTCAATTAATTTCATGTAATGCTGGACGTTCAACAGGCATATTAGTCGATATTGAAGCTGATAGTCCAATATTAATATTACCTGAACATTCATCAAATCCAAATGTTATTATATTACATTTAGGAAATATTATTATTAATAATCAATTTTTATATGAAAATGAGAGTGGAACATTGAGTTTTATTATGAATAATAGAAATAAAGCGGAAATATTATGTTTATTGGATGTTATCAATATACAATTCAAGGTAAAATGAATTTATTTTTATTTATTTTTCTAATAAGAATTTTAAATTGATATATAAAAAAAAGAATTGTTTATTTTAGGATACTGAATTTTATTCCGCCGAACGTTGTTCACTTGATAGTTCGTCAATATCATCGTCTGATTTTTCCGTTAAATTTTCAGATTTTGCTTTTATTCGTAATCGTCATTCATCATCAATGTTACGTGAAAATACTCATTTAACTATTCAAGTTGAACGAAATTTAGATAATTCAATAAATCATTCATCACCTACCTATAGTGTTAAAGCTAATTTGTCATCTGTCCATATTTTACTCGATATTCGACAATATCAATTAGTACGTGGTATATTAATATACAATATATGTGAACAATTAGAACAAGCACCTCGTCCAACAATGATTGTTGAAGATCCATCATGTGTATCAACTATTTTAACAGGTGTTGTTTGGAAAGAATTATCATTTAGAATTGAAATGGATAATGTTGGTTTAGAATTATTTATACCAGATAAATTTAATTTATCATCAAATCGTCATACTTTAGGTCATTGTGCATTTATTAAATCATCTTTTTTATTTGATAAATATTCAAATTCTAGTCAAGATTTTGATTTAACATCTGAATCAATTAAATTAATTGATACAAGAAAATATAATGAAAATGTATTTCATGATATTCTTGTTGCACATCGTTCATTATCTACAACTTCAACAACAACAGTAACCATGCAATTAGAAATACATTTACGATCAACAAAACAACTTGAACAATATACTATTGTTTTAAGTCATGTACGTGTTTTATTTATTATTGATTGGTTATTAAAAATTAAAGATTTTATTGAATCATTTGAACAAAAAGATGGTAATTATATTCAACCACAACAAATACAACAACAAATTATTAATAATAAATCATTTGAAATAATATTAAATTTTAATCAATCAGAATTAGTTCTTGTTCAAAATACATCAAATAAAAATAGTAATGCTGTTGTTTTAAGTGGTACAATAGCACTTGTTTATAGAGAATCAAATAAATTTAAACCATTGGATTGTTCATTACTTGGTGTTACATTATTTTCATGTCAAATGAATAATATTGAATCAACGGCTGTCAGTATTATTGAACCAATTAATTTTTCATTTGATATACATACAAAAGAAGAAAATAGACAAAATAAAAATACTCAGGTAGAAATTATTTTTTCTTCTTTTTTTATTAATAATAAAAAATGAATTTAATCATTAATCTTTATTTATTTAGACCGATAAAATGATTGAAAAAACAACATTAGAATTAAATTTACCATTATTAAGTATTCGTTTATCTTACTATGATATTAAATTAATGTTATATATGTTTGAATCGATAACAAAACAAATTGATAATGCTCGAACAACATCAACATCAAAAATAAATCTTTCAACATCAACAGAAAATAATTATTTATTAACATTTAATAATGATGTTATTTTACCAAAAGATGATGTATTTATAACAGAATATTGTCCACAAACAAGTTATCCAGAATTTCGTATACGTTCAACAACAGGTGATTTATCAATTCTAAATGAACGACAAAAAATTTCTTTAACTCCAATTTTATCCGATTTTCAAACATCAACATCTCAAACATTTTTAAATATTCATTTAATGAAATTTTCATGTGATCATATATCATTATGTATAATTGATGATTGTCTTGATGCTGATATACCATTATTAAATATTCATTTAAATAAATTTAAATTACATATAACTAGTGATGGTTTATTAACACGTTTATATCAAAGTGATTTTACATTTAATATTGATTATTATAATCGTTTACTCTCAGGTTGGGAACCATTTCTTGAATCATGGACATGTCAATTAATATTAAAATATAATATATTATCATTAACATCTTTTCTTATTCAATCAAATGATGTATTAAATATAAATTATACAAAAACTATTCATCAATTATATGATGTTGTTAAAATGAATTGGTTAAATGAATATAATAATAGTACAAAAGAAACTTTTCGTCGTCCAAAACCCTATGAACCCTATTGTTTAACAAATTTATGTGGATTAAAAATACATTTTCAAACATGGTTATCATCAGAACAACGTTTTGATACAATAAAATATTTAGTTGAAAATAATCAAATAAAATCATTTACATTTCCTAGTCATTTAATAATAAAAACTAATAATAATTTAACAACAACAACAACAACAACATCATTTTCTGATAGACGTTTATTAATTCAAATTGAAGGTTGGGAAGTATTAAAACCAGTATCAATTGATCGAGTTGGAACATTTTTTCGTCGAACAATAAGTACATCATCAACAACAAATACGTTAAATAAACCAATTCTAATATTTATTGATGTTAAAATGATTGATAGTTCAACGCGTTCAATAACCATACGTTCACCAATAACAATTAAAAATAAATTATTAACTAAAATGGATATTGGAATAAAATATGGTCCAAGTTTATTTTATGAATTTTCATTAGATCATAATGAATTAAAATCATTACCATTACAATATTGTTTGAGTATGAGACAAATTTATATTAGACCCAATGGATTTACGTTAAACTATTGTAGTCAACCAATTGAATGGACAAATATTTATAATGATACAACAAAAAGAAATAATGATTATGACGAACTAGAAGAAGAAGAATTAAATATTAATAGGTACGTTTTCATTTATTTCATCCTTTTTAGAAATAAAAGACACAGTGAGCAATTTTGATATGTCATACGAATACTGGATTTGTTTTCTCGTTAAAAACGCTTCTATTTAGCCAGCTTAGTTCCTCTATACTTCAAACTGATCATTTTAAATTAAAAAAAATTTTCCAAATATTACCTCAGTTTTTATTAGAAATGTTCCTGGACTGAGAAAAACAGATTTTTGTAGTATTTTTATTATAAACTATCTGTACAATCGGTCATTCTAAGCGAATTCTTAGTAAATTTTTGCTGCTAAAATTTGAGTAAACGGTTTAGTAGTGATACATTATAACGGCAGGACTTCATCAGATACAATCGTGTAATAAACCCATAGTTCAGGAAAACCTGTAGCAACGTCTAGGAACAATGGAACAATTCACCGCTAAAATCATAGATGCAGCACATATAGACGAAAGAGTATAGATTCATAATCCGTATTATTTTTACTTTTAGTTTCTTTTGAATTCAATATTTTCATGGCATGTCTCTATATTCTCAGACTCGCTTTTGACTAAATATTTTTCACGATTTTTCGTAGAGGAAACAAAACTTTTTTATCAGAATAAATGGCCCATATATTGAAGTGTATTTTTCTCTATTTGAATCTCAAAAGAAGGGTACTTTCGATTTTTAGCCAAATGTCTACATTCGTTGTCCATTGAGACATGATTCTCATCTTTTTTAATGCCGAATGTCGAGACCACTTATTTTCTTATAATTTTTTTTAGTTCTCATTCTCAACAATATTCGCATGATGCTCCAATACCTGCCAAACGTCGAATAACGAGTTCAAAGGATCGTCAATCATTTCTTCGAATGTGTAATTTGACTTCGAATTATAAAGAAAAAGATGGTAATATCTACTATTTTTGTTTTAAATCACAACGTTCTCGACTTATGTCATATAACGATGAAAGATTATCAGCCTATAATCTCACTATCCTATCACCGATGATTATTCATAATCTTTTACCATGTGATTTAACATTCCATGTTCAAAATCAACAATTACAAAAAGTATGCTTAAAACCATATAAATCTCATCATGAACATATGATAAATATTACAAAATCAATCGATATCATGTTTTCAACTGATCTCTATCGTATGACAAGACCATTTCAGTTAAATGATGTTTATCCAGTAAAATATAATCATTCTCGTGCAACATTCTATGATACGATTAATCGTCCTTTATCAATTGATATTAGTGTAATACGTTCAATAACCAATCAAATTAAAATTTTAATATCTGTTCCGTATGTACTTATTAATAGAAGTGGGATACCATTAATATTTAAACAAGAAAGTTGTCGAGATGAAGCAGCAGGACAATCACATGAAAATGAATTAGCGAGAAATCGTGAACCGTTATTATTTTCATTTAGCGATGTTGAAGCAGCCTATGCATGTGTCATGAAAGTTGGATATGGTAAAAATAGAAAACTAATCTAATTTAACTGACTTTAATAGAATCTACATTTTTAGGTGTACACAGCACTGATGATGGACGACCATTGTGGTCACAAAGATTTAGTCTTGGTAAGTTTTATTGATTAAAATGCATATATAATAAATTAATACAAGCTACTATTTTTATGTTAGAACGTGGCTCAAATTATCGTGAATTACATGTTCAATCACCTCACGGTCGTCCTGATTGGATTTATTACATTGGAATTGATGTTCGTCAAGGAAAAGGTCGTCTACGTAAAACAAATTATATATTTTTGAGTACACGTTTTATGATAAGTAATCAATGTTCGTATGATTTGTCTGTTGCTCAACGTCATCTAGTACGTGGTATGTTACAATCGGGTCATTATGATCCTGATTGTTGTTTACATGTTTTGAAACATTCAAATGTTGCTTATCATTGGCCACGAAGTGATCTCGATCAACTTTTATGTATTCGAGTTATTAACAATCGTCAATATCGTCATGTATATTGGTCCGGCGGTTTCCTTATTGATCGTGTTGATGCATTTCATATTAATATGCGTTATGATGATAATCAATGTTTAATATTGCGCGTACAAGTGATACAACGTGGAGGTACCTATTTTGTTGTTTTTATGAATTCTGATGATATGCCACCACCCATTCGAATTGATAATTTATCTTATGTACCCATACAATTTTATCAAACAGAAACAAAAGATGATTTAAGCCATTTAAGAACATTTATCCAACCAAAACAAACGGTTGATTATGCTTGGGATGAACAAACGTTAAGACCAAATATAACATGTTCCATTGTGGGTGGAACAAAAGAAACGTATAATTTGATGCAAATTGGCCATGGAGAACATTTATGTTATGAAAATCATATTTGTTTAGCTTTACAGGTATTTGATAAGTTGTGGTTTTTTTGCACTGCGTTGAATGAGAAAATGGATAGAGAGATCATATATTCTTTTTCTTGTAGGAAACATTTGATAAAGAAGAAAATGATTGTGATAGTGATAGCGCATTCGACGATGATCGACAACATCAGACAGAAACATATCATCATAATATACCGACAATAGAGATGAAAAGCGGTGGTGTAATAAGAAATCGTCATACAAGTGATTCAACAACAACAAATAAAAAGTCACTGATAAAAAGCAAAACTCTAGATATATCAAAGTCTCTGAACATAAGACGAAATGATCGTAATCTTGTTATTGACTGTATCCAAGGCAGATTATTACTAGCTCAACGGGAAGAAAATAAACGATCACAATTATGGCGAATGACTAGTAATGGTTTACTTGTTCATGATGGATCGTCATCACCACGCGACTGGACTCGAAGAGAAACAACAAATGATATTAGACAGTCATTTGTCTTAGATGTTGAAGGTAAGTGCAAACACATTTGTTTTCTTATTTAACAAGTTCATAATCTTTTTTTTAAGAAGTTTCTGACAGTTACACATCTGTTACTCATATGAACGGATTTATGCGACTAACAATTCGCCGTTATGATTCAAAACGTACATTAACTCAGACGTGGCGTTTTCTTGATGGTTATTTATGTATGGGTCAAACACAAATGTGTGTACAAGTATTTGGAGAATTGAAAGAAAACAGTGATCTGGTACTCGGACCGATAGTATTCAAGTAAGATATTATATTGTGTAACAATCGTCAAAGTAACATTGTATGTTTCTAGTAATAAGGGTTTATTACCTCCAGAGCCAAATATGCATATACGCCCCCAAAGACGATTAAAAGGTTCCGGTCTATTGTCTGTTCGTACCTATGCTGATGGTCCAACACGTGTTCTTGAAATAACTAACGTATCGAACGTGAAACAACCATCTTTGGCTGCTACCACTACAAACAAAGAAAAAATTGTCAAAAAGAATGTGAATCCATCCTCCAATGATTATCTGCATCGTGTTATGCACATCGATTTTAAATTGGAAGCTGGCATTGGGATATCAATTGTTAATTCAATTGGTAGAGAATCTGAAGAGTTGGTGTATATTCTTCTTAATGATATAATATTAGAATACAAGGATGAAGAAAATGAATATTTATTTCTAGCCACGATTGGAACTGTTATTGTAAGTTTAGATAAATAATTTGCTAGATATAGTTGCATTTATTGAGATGAGTCTGCTCCAGACTATACGTATTCCCTGTTATATTATCTTTCAAAGAAAACTCGATGCTGTTAGACTATTCTGATACATTCAGAAACAATTTTTTGTTTTTGCTTAGGTATCAAATCAGTTGTTAACAGCAACAACACCTTGCCTTTTGTACACAACGTATGTTGACGAATCAACTGTTCAACCAGCTGTTCGTTTACAAGCAAACCTCCAGAAACCCAATGCAAATTATAAGTAAGATTCAAAATGACTTCTATTTCTATGGATCAATACTGTTGTTTGTTTGTTTTTTACTTTAGAAATCTTCACATTTTACGTTACTTACGTATTGGTCTCAATAGCGTGACAGTTCAAATTGATGAGATATTATTGTGGAAAATGTTTGAATTTTTTGGTATGGATTTTTCTGGTTCATCAAATAATGGTCCGAAATCAAATGATCAAACGATAAATATGGATGATGGCGATTATGATACACAACGTTTACTTTCATTGCTAACATCGACACAAGCAACACGCATTTATTTTAATGAATTAATGTTATCATCTATTAATCTTGATCTAAGTGTTTATTGTGGCGCTTCACGTTCGCTACCTGCAAATTTATTATCAATCAAACGTCATGCATCATTTCCATTAGTTAAATTTGAAAATGCTCAGATTCATTTAAAATCATATGAACAAGTTCATATATTTAACACCTACGATTTTTTCATATTATCATTAACAAATCACTACATAGATGAATTAAAACGTCAGGCATTTAAAATATTAGGCAGTGTTGATTTTCTTGGTAACCCGTTGGGACTATTTAACGATGTTACCGATGGGTTTGCTAGTCTTGTTGATCATGGAAGTGTGACAGGACTAGTTAAAAATGTGGCACATGGTGTAGCTGATTCAACATCAAAATTTACTGGAACACTATCATACGGACTAGGAAAATTGGCATCGGACGATGAACATGATGAAATGCGTGAAGCGATACAAAGTAGTTATCGTGGAAGTAGTTTTAGCCATGTTATTGGTGGAACAGTTGGATTAGCAGCCGGTTTTATAGGTGGATTAACATCGATAATAACACAGCCGTATAAAGGTGTAGTAGAAGATGGAATCGGCGGTCTCATGAAAGGAGTTGCCAAAGGCATTGCGGGAACTGTTAGTAAACCAGTGGTGGGCGTTCTCGATTTTGCCAATGGATTAGCAATGGCAATTAAAGAAAGTAGTAGAAGTAAAAATGTCATATTAAGAAATCGTATTAGGCTACCACGTTGTCCTGCGAATATATTGGGTTTATTACAAGCGTACTCAATCTATGATGCCAATGGGCAATCACTATTGTATCAAATAAATAGAGGCAATTTAAATGAAAAATACATAACAAGGTTAATATTATCAGCGCCACCGACAGTAACATCAAAACGAAAAGCCCCAAAAAATAGCAATGACGATAATTACACCGAACGATACGGATCTCATGTTCATGTAAGTTATCAAAATTCCTATACTTTTGTTGAACGTTATCAACACTCTACTTTGATTTAGTCAATCAGTAATAGATGTCTAAGTTTCAGTCTTTCCTTCTATAGTTATTATTGAAGTAAATGAAAACTGTTTCACTTTAGGCCATGATTACATCTGAGCGTGTGATTATTTATCGCACAGACAATGAACACGATGAATCTTCGTATGAAATAATAAGTGATTATGATTTTGGTACTTTATTAAATGTTGTCCCAGTTGAATATAACCGTCATCCATATGTTCAATTTATACTTGGCTCACCGCATTATCGTTCATTAAAGCAACATTCACTAGCACAACAACAACAAGCATCTTCACCCACTAGTCCTCCTGATTCCTCACAACGTCCTTTTTATAAATGTGATACACAAAAGATAGCAACTCTATTATCCATGAATGTTGAACGTGCAAGAGGAACATATGAAGAAGAAAAGCTTACATATGAGAGAAAAAGTAACGACGATGGTAATGAGGATGACGACGACGAAGATAGTAATTAGTTCTTCCATTTGTTGATGGTAAATGTGACATTTTGTATATACCACTTACGTATTTATTTTTCTATATGTAATAGTCAAAAACAGTTCTAATGTTAAACAGATGATCCGTCCATATGTATTTGTCTTCATAAAAATTTATTTTTCTATAGAAAATTTTTTAATTTTCATGTGTGTGTGTGTGTGTCTATGTGTCTATGTGTGTATCTATCTCTATTAATGACACGTGCGTGTTTCTTAGCAAAAAACAGTTTTATGTTTTCATACAGTTCTTTCTTGTTAGAAAATACACATGAGTTTTTGTTGGTGCTGTAAAGCAAGTCAGTCTCAAATAACAAACTTAAAATGAGATTGAAATTTATTTTTCACGTCTGATCTCTTTGACCACGTAGAAGAGCAAATCAAGTTATTATTAGTGTGTTGTATTTAATATTTCTTCCAAAGTATTTCCGTTGAATGTAAGTTTATATTGAACTCGTTCACGGTATTAGTTGTCCACAAAAACTGTTCACAAAAAATCGAGGTATGCTGCCGTCATATAAGAGATGAAGCTTGATGAACACAGCACCACTTTTTAAAACTGCTTTATCGCCTCTAGTCTCTTATATGTATATCATGCAGTAATTTTTAAATTCTTGCTGTTTAATATTCTTAATTGTCCTGTATTTATTAGTTATAGAGATACATGAAAATAGCAAGAACGTTTTCAATAACATTTGAGAATCATAATTACTTGTTATTAATATATTGCGACTATCATGAAGAAAAAGGCACCGTCCTATCGCATTGCACATTTCACACAGTACCAGAAATCGTAGCAGCTGTAAGCAGTAAATTCAAACTCCCAAATACATAGCAATCTTAATTGGTATGAGTAACAAATAATGATATTTCATTAAACTAAATTTTCTCATGCATCTCAAGAGATTGTTAAACTTTTGGTTGGATTGTAAGATTAATTTACCTCTCTCACCAATGCTGTTATACACTAAACCAAAAGTGAACGTGTCTGAACCCATTTCTTTTCACACGGATTCTGAAAACTAAAATAGTGCGTTGAAGCCTGTGTGAATAAGAGTTGGGGTCGGGAAAAATCTTTTCGTGCTACATTCTAAGAATTGGTTTCTGTTCGACTCTGCTTCAAGAAAAGTGAGTTTCCAGCCGCCTTTTTGCGAAATGCATTGTTGATTTTCTGCCAGTTAAAAAATGTTTAGAAGCCGGCCGGTTTTTCACCGGTTTAGGCGTGTTTTTAACCGGCACTTAACCAGTCGGTCTGTTTCGGTTGAATAAAACTCAATCGGTTTCAACTTTGGTGTGAATAGTCGCAACTGGTTAAAACATGCCAGAAAATCATTCTAACTCGTTCGACTATGCTGAAATCGACTTGTTTAACTGCGTTCGTATTTTCTAAACGCATGCATGGTCAGACGAGGTGTAATGGACGAAGTTCATTCTTTTGAAAGCAACGCGTTTGTTTGAACTCGTCATCTATCCAACTTTATTTTTTCAATTAGATTTTTGGGATGGATCTTGAAATCCATCCAGTAATATCTATGTAGTACTGCGTCTTCGTACTCGACCATTTACCTGCTGAAAAGAAGAAAAAATCTCAAGAAATTTTCAAAGTTAGTTTAAACATTTTATTAATAGAAATCATAATAAAAAAAACATCTGCAGCTGCTGGAAATTCAGCATTAAATTCAGGAATCAGCATTAAAAACTCAGTTGAGACATGCGTGTTTCAGAACTTTTAGATAATTTTGAATTTCAAGTGAAAATCCTTAATTCTTAAAGTTTCCAAAATTAGCTTTCTAGACTCATTTTTCTGGAATTTTAAAAAACTACGAAACATAAAAACTTTGGTTATCATTCAAAAATTGAGCATAATTAGAAATATCTGTTTCAAAAATTTCTTGTTCAAATTTTGATCGAAATACATTACTCAACACAGAATTTTGCTAATCCGAAGAATTTTTAAGCGTGCTTTTTCTAGACCATCATATTTTAAAAATATTTTTGAAAAATGGGTAAAAATGATGAAATTTTTGAATGCTTCAGGCAGTTAACAGATAATGTCGCTAACGAGCCTCCATCACAGAAAATAGAAAATTTTGAAATCCTCTCTTGAATATCGTTGTAGCTGCTAAGTGCCTGCCTTCTACATTCGAAAACGCTGACATGTCCTCATTGAACAGGGCTGAAGTTTCTTTCAACTCTGGTCTTGTAGCACAGGCATAAGATGGATCATCGGTTTTTAATTTCAGAGTAATAACAGTGGCGTTTTGATCATTTACAAACGGTCTTTGTTGTGCTGCCATTTCAACCAGGTGAGACTCAGTTTCACTGGGGAAACCAACGGATTTCTGACGAACAGCGGCTCGCATCTTCGATGGGTTTGTAGATTTCATCAATCGTCCATTTTGAGTGAATGTGAAAGTTGGATTGGTAACATTCCTATAATCACTGTACACCAGATCAGCCTGTTCGACATGGAACAAAACTCGCTGCAAACGCTTAGTATGAAATTTCATTGTCTATAGACAATCAGAACTAGCTGCTAACAATACGGATTATAATCGGTATTGTTAGCAGCTAGTTCTTATACAGTGTGCGGCTTTACATCCATGAATAAATCAACCAGCCCAATTCAGCAAAAACATAAAACGATCTTCTCAGCCGCTTATAAGCTATCAAGCCTAAAACTTTTGATAATCCGGGAATGCTCACCGAAGATAGAATGATATTGGACGAAGCCATCATGGATATAGAGCGTAGGAGTTCTAAGAACAATTTATGAAATGCAGTGCAAATCTAAAACAAGTACAAAGTGTTCATCAGCTTTCTAAAAACTCATTAGTTTAGACGCAAATCATACAGAGAAAAGCCTATTTCAAAACTAACGCATGTACTCTTCGCTTGTGCGCAACTTGTACAGAAACAGTGTAATAGATGTTTTTTATACACACTATTTCAAAATAAACATGTGATTACTCAAATTGTGAAAAACACAAATAAATGACATCACAAACGCTATTTTTTGTAATCGATACTTTTCTCACGACCGATTTTAGAGAGAAAAACAAGAAATAACAGTACTTTAAAACTAAAAATTTACGAAACCTAGAAAACTGAACTTCCCATTGCTGAGACGCTTTCACTGATATACAATTATACATTTAATTCTGTCGTGCATGCTCCGGTTATTACTGCGAAATTAAAAACCCGATGTTCCATTTCATGCATGTGCTATAAGACCAGAGTTGAAACAAACTTCAGTCCCGTTCAGTGAGGATATGTCAGCATTTTCGAACGTAGAATGGCAGGCACTTAGCAGCTACAATGATAGCATATCAAAATTTGATGTTTTTTTTTCTAGAGAAGCGTGTCTCGAGATTTTTACATATTCGGAATCAGCGCGACGAGTTACGTTGTACGGCGCAAAGATCTTGTCGGGATATTTCCAATTTCCAACAACAAGAAAAAATTTTGAAATTTTCTTATTGTGTTGTTTATATTATTTTATCAATTTCCTTTCAAACGCGTTGGAACTGTCGTTCGGATGGTTAAAATTATCTCATATCAATTAAATTGTATGAGAGTAACAAAATAATGTTGAAATGAGTCTTCAAATTATCGCTCCCTAGGTGTTATATGTTAGATTAAATAATTTGTTGACACTGTGAGAAAGAAAACTAAACGTTTATCTATATTACTGTCAGTTTTCGAAACACGCAAGAAGACTCAGCTGACGTATTACGATTGTTTTTTTACGCTGCGTGCTATACTGTGCTATTTAAATCAAAAAGACTGCTCAACCTGAATCAGCATCGTCTCAATCATTAAATAAAGGTGTGACTCTGACAGACAACAGTTTACCAATGCATGTAAGTATAGCATCTTATCGATTTTGACATCTAGACGAAAATATTTTGTGATATAACGATTATATTAAATCTCTCTCATACTTTAACCATTTCTACATTTAAAAATCTATCTACAAACAGCTAGTCTAGCATGAAACGTAACATAGCGGTAGTTGACAAAAGAGTGAAGAAGTAAAGAAGAGTCGATGTACTTCAACTACACCCAAAAGCAGAAAAACATATTCTACAGATCACTTCTCAAACTTTTTTCTTACGGATTAAATTGAACATTTTTTTATTCAGACCAGCCAATCAAATTCAAAATCGCAAAAACACAGCCATTCACTTCTCGGTTTTCATCCGATGCGCTTGTTACGATCCCTAACTGGTAAAACAAATTCAGATGATGTTTTACGACGTCGTTCAAGAACAACGGCAGAAGTACCGACAATTATAGTAACTCCACCTACTCTTTCAATTCCTTTCTCCAATCAAGAATCTGAAAAGATTCAATCACGGGGGAAAAAACTAATCACTGCATCTCAAGCACAACGAAGACGTAGTATTACAGAATTTGTTATCTAATGAAAAAAACACTGTCACACAATTGATTTAGCTTCAATTTGTTTGTTTGTTCTGTCCGCTCTTTATTTTCGTGTATAAACTAATATGAAATAAAATTTCTAAGATATTTTTTTATTTGTATTTCTAAAACTAACATGAAGAAGCATTTTAAAGTCGAATATCAGATAAGTTGGATCTACAATTTTTTGTCAACTAGACCAGGGTTTGAATATTAACAGCAGCGAAATGAAGCATTTATTATGAAGTTTAGTTTTCAGTCAATTAAACGAGTTAGTGTGTTTTTTTCACTAATCGTTGCTTTGGTTTCACATTCATCAATATTTTACGTTTTTCGACTATTTTCCTCTCTCTTCTTCTCTATATGCTATCTTTCGATAACCCTTCTATTCTCTTGAGATGTCATCAAGATTTTTTCTAAAATAGACAAGCATATACCTTATTTAAGTGTCATTTTTTATATTGATGTTATCTTTCTCATTGCTTTTCTACCCCAAATCTTAAAGTTTTAAAACTTCGAGAAATACAAGTATTGAAATTATATCAATGACTCATTTGCTCACAAAGTACAAACTTTCTAAAGATTACCTACTAACAGATGTATGTTCATTACAAATTCACTTTGCTCAAGTTTTTTTCTAAGATCGTCGTTGTGTACCTTCTGGTGTGAATAACAGAACGCTTGACGAAAAGTTCCTCTTAGAGGAAAAAATACAGCATGTATTCTCTAGACAATGTGTGATTTGTTAATTATATTCGACATCTTCCCAAATACTGCATCCCGGTTTACCGTTATCGCTATAACTGAATACTAATAACTCACAGTGTTTTGTTACAAGGAAGAAAGAGTTCTTACTCATAACTTCTTAAATATTTGAAATTCAATTTAACCCTTCCCCCCCCTCATAGCGGTTCCAGAAGAGCCACTGATAGAATAACTACACAAATAGAGTTTAGTCTCCCCAATATGCCATCAGTAAGATGACCAGACATACTGTCCCTTCTGCAGGGTAGTTTGGTCACTCCAGCGACCATTGGGGGGGGACGGGACGAACGACATAAAAGTTATTTTTTTCGAACATGTCGTTTTTGCTAAATATGTACTGCTTCTTGACAATGACGCATAGTTAAGTAAATAATTGACATTATTTATAAATGCAAACGCTATTTGTCTTTATTGGACATGGGTGGGACGGTCTTAGTCCCGATCCCAGAGCCAAAAATTTTTTTTGGAAAGATCGGAACCAGAACCGAGGCCGACAACGGCTGCTCTCCTCATATCCATGTTAGATTCACGCCTAGACACGGGCGGGACGGTCTTGGTCCTGCTAAAAAAAGTTTTGGTCCCGGGATCGAGACCCGGACCGTCCGACTCATATCAAATAATGACACATAGCGTTTGTATATATAAATAATGTCAATTATTTACTTAACTGTGGGCAGTTGTCAATAAGTATTACATATACAGCAAAGGAAAAAAAACGTTTCATATCGTTCCCCCTCAATGATCATTACAGTGACCATTGTATGGCTTACCATCTCTTATCTACCTGGCTTTTGTGAAACTTTCGAAAGGCATTGATACCAGTAGTAGACATTATTGTCGATATATACCACACAATACGTCTCCAAAGTGTATCTTGCCTGTTGGTAAAAAAATAATTGTTAAAAAAATTCAACTTTCGTGGTTTTTTTCAAACTTATCGATTTTGTAACTCATTGTTTTCGGAGGTAGAGCAACAAAACAAAATATTCTTTTAATCAATCGATAGCTTATGGAATTCACTACAAGAAATGTTCCCAAAGTTTTTGAATTCCATACTTTCTTTATCTTTTACAATCGTACTACAAATGGTCACTTTAGTGACCAAGAGGGATAAAGGATTAATGTTTCGAAGTAAGTCACTTTGTAGTTGAAATTGTAAGCTTTTAAAATATACACTTTTAATTTGAATCAGTTAAATTTTCAGCATAGAATATCGTTAATATTCTATTGACAAATACTTTTGATTTTTTTATTGTCGACATCATGCTCACGAATGAATTTAATAACAGACCTTTTAGAAGATGATCACTTTTAGATAAAAATTTCTCCACGATTGTTGACGTGGAAATAGAGTAAAAATAAATTTACAATGAATTATGCGAGAATAAAAACGCGTGAAACTTTTTTTGTTTATTCCCTCGTATACAGAAGTATGGACACATTTTTATCCATGCGTCAACAAACGTGAATTTCCAAAATTTTTCACATGGATGGTATCAAATTTCTCGATCAGATTTTGTGCTATAACCATCATGTTCATGAACAGCATCAAAAACTGAGTCCTATCAAATACTGTCCAGCCGTTCGGGAGAACTCTCATTTTCGACTTTAAAAGTACCATTGACGGAAAAGCGGACTTTTCATTCAAAATTTGACTCATAATATTGTTACATATATCTACAATCGAAGATGGAGATGTCAAATATTTTAGAAAAATGTCCTTTAAATATCATTTTCTGTATAAAAAGAAAGTTCAGTTTTTTCGCTATTTTCTAAAAATAAAAGTAAACATTACTGTGAACAGTTAAATGGTATTCGATTCTACTCAGTCAGTTTTTATGTTGATTGTGAATATGATGCTTATGTACATATAGTAGCCAAAAATGTTAAAATACCGTGAAATCCAATTATTTTCTTGATTGAATTTTATTTTGCAAAAAACGTGTATCTTTATATCCAGCCGATCAAGCGTGAAAAGCTACTCATATCATTCATATTTTTTATTGTTTCGGACTTTTGTTGGGTAACAGCAGGAAAAACAGAAGTGATTATGGGGTTTACTACGATGAAGTGCTTTTAAGAATAGCTTCTGAACTATCGAAAACTTCGACCTTTATACGTAGGCATGTCCCAGTGATATAACTGTTATCAGAGCATCTAGGAACATTGTTATAACGCAGATATTAAGAACCCTCCCTAGCTGCAGAAGCTCTTATTTTGTAGAGAAATGTTTGCTGTATGTAATTGTTGGAAAAAAACGTTTAAACGTTATTGTGACATAAATATGAACAGTATAAAATAAACTGTAGGTTGAGGACAAGTTATATAAAACTGTTCGTGTCTTTTCAGCAATTTGTTAAGAAAACTTGTCTTTTTCATCCACTAATCTTTTAGTAGTTGCAAATAGATAGACTAAAATGAGACGTTTCGCAAGTCTGAGCGATTCTTAAGAACTACATGATAACAATTTTTCTGTATACTCTGAAAAACAGACAGAAATAACTGATGTATTCTTCTTTTAAAAATGTCATGTTTTTGTACCGGTCTTTTCTGACTAAAATGACACGTTCAATAACTCTGGGTCTATGATGTTATTTTATTCATAACGGTATGATTAGAAGTAGCCTGCAAAAAAAACTTTCTTCGGCTCATCTACAAAATAACTCCAGCCAAATCTGTTTCGACTTCATATGGCTTCTATTTATCGTGAAAAATGTGTTTCATTCGTATTGTAACAACATTTTGAGAACATGAAAAACGAATTTTTGAAAAAGGTTATCGTGATCATTTCTTGACATACCACAGATGAGATTCATATATCATCGAAAGTGTTTCATTATTTTTAGGTTTGACTATTTTTGAAATAATTAATCTTCATAATAATTCAACATCATTTCTATCTACAAAAAATTGTAACCAATTTCTAGGAAAACTTAAATCACATATGGGTTTACGAATAAAACTGCTGATTCATTTCCTTTCATAAACTTTTCTTCGATTGACCTTTTGAAATCAACATTATTTACCTGAGTATTACATTTAAAATGAGCAATACAAAATAAAATTGAAGAGAAATAAATAAGACATTAGATAAATATATATATATATAAAACATATATATAAAATTGAATATATTATTAATTATGTCCATAAGCTAACAACGTGATTGTGTCAATGTTTCTACCAAAAAAAAAAAACATTTTTTCAAAAATATCAATCATATAGACAAAATAGAATTTAATTAAGTAATTTTATTTGTTTTATTAATAGTATCTAAAACATCCTTTAGATTCTGAACAGAAAGGAATACACATGATTAGTACAATTAATGTAATTATTTTATTACGAAGAACGATAATTAGGGGTGACACTTTCCCTTTATCATTACTGTAACGGCTAACGAAAATCCGTTAATTGTGTTACTTCTGGAAAAGTAACGAGTGAATTATTTTCTTTTTGGTTGAAATAACCCATTAATTCATTTGTTAGCCCATTGAAACTCATAGAAACATTGAATTAAAGGGTAGATTTTTGAAACTTAAATCAATATGAGAATTATTCACGGCGATAGTACATGAAGTGTACAGAGTTACAGTTATTTCTAAAATTACTTTGCTTCTTTCTGCTTCGGAGAATAGGAGGGCTATTTCAGAGTAACTGAATCTTAGATTTGACTCAGTTTTTCAGGTAGAAACATGAAATGTTTGAAAATAAATTTTTTCATCAGTTAGAGAAGTTTAACAAAATAAATAAAGGGTTGTTGAAACAACCAAAAGAATCTTTTACCTTTACTTTACTCTGGACAGTATCGAGAATAAAGTAATGAAAAATAACGGGAATGTACCACCCCTAATAATAATCATGCCTGTTTTAAACACGTTTCACTATAGATAGAATATTTTTTAACCAATGTATAATGATGATCGTTTTACGGTTTAATATTATCATCAAGTTTTAAATCAGAAACAGGACCGGTGGTATCTGTGACAACATAGTAATGAAATACAATATTATTCAAAAGTCAGTCACCAATAATTAAATGGAAATAAAACTAAACTCACTGTTGCTCATTTCATCAGTATAGAAACAGTTAGTGGTAGGCTATATAGGTAGCTCAAAAACAAGGAAAATGGCTAAAAGAATGAATAGTTTTTATATTAATTATTTTAATTATTTGTCTAGGTGAAGGCAAAGTTCACAATTTAAATTATCCACGATGCACTTCCTTTCGTACTCT